TGCAATTTAATTTTTTTTTTTTTTTTTACAGGGGGCCCCAAAATGAACCTTTCTTGTTGACGTTTTGGGAATGTCTATTCGTGTTGTTTTTTATTGGAGGGGGTGGGGGGGTGTTCATCTTGTCACGCCCGTTTTGATTTGAGTATTCCATCCGCAAGAAATAAGCCCCCTCCCATCCCCTCTCGTCCCACAGGCCACCTTGCTGGCTCAGGAGATCCGCGACCGGGAGCGAGGCGGCCGGGCTCAGATCGGCATCGTGGAGGGCGCGGACGAGCGCGACTCGCCCGAGCTCATGAAGAGCATGACGGCGTCGCTGGGCCAGAGGAGCGCCCCGCTCAAGGCCGCCGTGCCCGACGACGACTCGGGGGGGCCGCGCAAGGCCGCCGTCCGGCTCTACCAGTAAGGAGCCTCGGACGGCACTCAAGTCCGTGTAAAGTACTTGGGCACGCGCGTTTTCATGCCACGAGATGTGGGAAGGACTTTGGTCGCAATGAAACTCCTCAACTCATTTCAACACGGTCCCTCTGCACCGAGATGCCGCCGCTTTTGTCTTCCGCAGAAGTCCTCGGCCAACGGCGACGACGTCGTCGCTGCTGCTGCTGGGGTTGAGAGAATGACTTTGTCGGCGCGCGCGTGTTTCTCCTCAGTGTTTCCGACGTCAGCGGGAATCTGGTGGTTCGGGAGATAGCCACGCAGCCTCTGAGCCAAGACCTCCTGCAGTCCTCCGTAAAAGCCCGTTCCGCAGCGTCTCCGCACGGAGCCTGATCGCCGGCGGCTTGACGGGGCTTTCCTCCCTTCTGTCAGGACTGCTACATCTTGGATAACGGCGGCTCCGCTGTCATGGTGTGGAAGGGGAAACACGCCTCCAAGGAGGAGAGGCGGGGCTCTCTCAACCGGGCGGTGGTGAGCGACGCGTCTGGCGAGCGGCCATCGTTGGGTGCAAACGTGCCGTCGCATTCCCCATTCGTTGTCAGGGTTACATCAAGGCCAAGAACTACCCGGCCAGCACCGGCGTGGAAGTGATGTGCGAGGGCGGCGAGTCGGCCATGTTCAAGCACCTCTTCAAGGAGTGGAGGGACAAGAACCAAACGCAGGGCCTGGGCGCCACGCACGGCGTGGGCAAGATAGGTACGTGGCCAAAAGAGGCAAAGCCGAGCTGTTGCTCGTGGTTATCATCAAGTGTCCCCCGGTTGATGCTCTGAGTCAAAACTTGGAGACCCGCCAGCCTAAATAGTTCCCCTATTTGCCGTACCCCCCAGCCAAGGTGGACCGGGTGAAGTTCGACGTGCTGGAGCTTCACGCCCGCCCCGAGCTGGCGGCGCAGCAGCGCATGGTGGATGACGCCTCGGGGGATGTCAAGGTGCGCTTCTCCGTTCGCCCTAACGGGGGACTCGGGAGCATTGAAGGAAATTGGCATTTGGGTTTTGGAGCTGGAAACTACGCCCGCCGTCTTGTGTTTGCGGAAGCGAAAGGCAAAACGGGAAGCTTACTTGTACTCTACGTGCTGTCCGCAACGTCTTCTGTCGCTTCGACAAAGGAATCTATGGCACACCTTTGGAGTCGCGGCACGGCGGGGCGCAAAAGTCGACAAAGTTGCTACATTCGAAAAAAAACAAAAAAACCCACATGGTTTATGTTAAGCGAGGTCGAGAAAGACACCTTTCGGAAGAAAAAAAGCGTTCCGTACGTGAGTCAAAAGGCCGCCTTTGTTTTCCTTGCCGTTCAACCTCACTCGCCCTTCCGGTCAAGTCTCGAAGCCAAGCAGCTGAAGCGCGCTTCAAGTAACTTGCGATCCGACCGAGCGACTCTTCACATCCGGTAACGGGCCAAGTCACGAAGGAGCGAGCTTTTGGGGGCAGCGGGTAACGTCGAACGCGTGTCGACGTCAGGTGTGGCGCATCGAGAATTTGGAGCTGGCGGAGGTCAACCCGAGGACTTACGGACAGTTCTACGGCGGCGACTGCTACCTGGTGCTCTACACGTATCGCGTGTCCAGCCGGGAGCAGCGCGTTCTCTACATGTGGCAGGTGGGTTCGCTCGCCGGCTCGCCGCTTTGGCGTCCTGTACTCAAAAGTGATTTCGGCGCCGCCAGGGGCGTCACGCCACCAAAGACGAGGTGACGGCCTGCGCCTATCAGGCCGTGCTGCTGGACGGCAAGTACGGCGGCGCCCCCGTGCAGGTGCGGGTGGTCATGGGAAAGGAGCCCCGCCACTTCCTGGCCATTTTCAAAGGCAAACTGATCATCTTTCAGGTGGGCCTCATCGCGCGGCCGCGCCGACTTTAGTCGTCGCTTTTCCGTCGAGAGAAGCGCGTCGGTCGGTCGGCTCTGGCGCCGCGGTAACGCTGTCGTGCGCAGGGCGGTACGGGTCGAGCCGGCGCGGTGGAGCCCGCGGGCGGAGCCAGGCTCTTCCAGGTTCGGGGGACCAACGAGCTCAACACCAAAGCCACCGAAGTTCAGGCCAGGGCGTCGTCCCTCAACGCCAACGACGTTTTCCTGCTCCAGAGCGAGCACTCGTGCTACCTGTGGTACGGAAAGGTCAGTGGTCCGTCCGGCTGCCCGCCTGCCGACGGATGGATGACGACGACGTCGACGGCTCGCGTCTTTCTGGCCGCAGGGTTGCAACGGCGACGAGAGGATGATGGCCAAGGCCGTTGCCGACGTGCTCTCCAAGCGCGACAAACAGGTGGTGATGGAGGGCCAGGAGCCCGCCGAGTTCTGGCTCGCCCTCGGAGGGAAGGCCCCCTACGCCAGCGACAAGAGGTCAACGCCGAGCCCGCGTCTTTCAAAAGAGCCATCGGGGGCCTCGAACGCCGGTCCTCGTGGGCCACCGGCCACGATCGTTGACTCGGCACGCGTCTTCTCCCTCCCCCAACGCCCCCGACCGAGTACAATGATCGGGCTCGTCGGCAGACCCGCCTGATGTGTTGGAGGGGGGCGAAATGGTCGAAAGCGAGGTTCCCCAACCATTTTTTTGTGCCGCTCGCCAGCTGAGAGTAGTACATGCGACCTTTTTTTGGAGGGGGGGGGGCACCGGCCACGATCGTTGACTCGGCACGCGTCTTCTCCCTCCCCCAACGCCCCCGACCGAGTACAATGATCGGGCTCGTCGGCAGACCCGCCTGATGTGTTGGAGGGGGGCGAAATGGTCGAAAGCGAGGTTCCCCAACCATTTTTTTGTGCCGCTCGCCAGCTGAGAGTAGTACATGCGACCTTTTTTTGGAGGGGGGGGGGTTAGGGTTAGGCGTCATTCTACTGTTCAACAAATGCAGCGTAAAATAAAACAAGGCGAGCTAGAAAGAAAGGGACCCATCGGGAATAAGAAATGCGGCTTCGAATGCGCAGCGGCGGTTGGGGACCCTCGCTGAAAAGCGGCCCTTGAGGACCGCGCTTGCCGTCGATGGCTCGATGTGCAAAGAAGTGACCAACCGTGTCCCCCGCCACCCCCCAGCCTCCAGAGGGAGGAGCCGCTTCCCCGCC